ATGTGGATTCATGCAACCCTGCTGTCACATTGTACCAAACATGAAGCGGAGAGATTTGACACAGCATAATAAAGTCAAATTATCTTGCGAGGACGTTTCATTTGGTGAATTATTTGAGGAATTCACAGCGTTCCACAGAACCATTGTATCCATAGTTCGAATTACAAAACGACCCTGAACGTGGCATACAGTCTGCAGTACGTTTCACCGGCAAACTGCACTGCAAGCTGAATCATCACAAATATAAAAACCTGGGCGTCATTTTATTTTTGTTAGAAATAAATAATTTGTACATATTTTCCAGATAACGAGATGTCTGTTTCATCAGGAAGGGACGGTATCATGTTCCTGAGATCACACGTAATTGTAATGAGTGGCCCTACTAAGTACTCCAATACATGACATTCATCTCTGATGCGTCTTTTTTACGAAATTGATAATTTTAAGCAGTCTCAAGCTTGATGTAGAACTTGGATTACCCAAGCGGTCTAATTCATTTGCGAACGCAAGCATAAACGTGTTGTCGCCATTTGTCTCAGCAAATTTACCCTCTGGTAAGTTTTGATACCATGTACAATTTTCTACGTTCCGGTCCTGGTTTGGTCTATCCGGCCTTGGTATAAATTATATTCGATACGTGTTCGTATCTAATGTTAATATATTAAATGCACGAATGTTTGACTATCTTGTTTAACAACTTATTTTTTGTCTTTTGCATTTTTCACGATTTAACACCGTGTTTGACAGTGCATGGAGCTCCATGGACAGTGCAACAGATGTATGTTCATTTATTCGCCGCCGCCTGTGTGAACCGCAGACATTAGAATGCACATCTAATACAATCTGTTTTAGTCAGGGTTTGAATGCACATTCGTGGTTTGTCACGTAATGAACATTAATACATTAAATGCACAACGAATGTATGACTATCTTATTCACAACTTATTTTTCGTCTTTTGTAGCACTTATCGTACACATCTTCCGTCCGGGCATGGTGTCAAAGTACACACAATCATTGAAATGGTAATGAGGAGTGTAGCAAACAGGTCACTTGACTCCAGAGGTATCATCAGTCACGTACTTAACACCTTCTTTGGGTCGTGAATTTTTACATTTAAACAATGATCTGCCGTCATTGTTTGTAATTTTGCGTATAAAGTACGAGAAGTCAGCCGTGCATTTAACAAGGCGACAAAGTGAGGCATCTTGCTACATTGTTACATTCCGACTTCTGTTCTTAATTTATTCACGCAATTCCCGTGGAAACACATTCAAACGAACCACAAAAATACGGACCCTGAGCATTTGTAAAAATATGTTCAAGCAGCAATTTTATAGCTCAGTAAAGATGATAAAACTCTATTTTGAAATGCAGAGGGAGATTTTCACCTGCTTACTCAGAGAGTATCTAATACGTATAATATTTTAACCTTTATTTTAAAAACGTACTGCCATGACCGTAGACTACATCGTTTTGTAATTTGGAAGACCATGTTTCAATGTGTGTCAATTCTGTGGTAATTATTCTTTTGAAAATGCCTGTTGTAACAAATAGAAACTTTGTTGCCTGGCCCATTTATTTTATGTCACCCATGATACAAACTGCAAGCTCGCAAGAACTGTAAATGAACTACAGTCAAACCTGTGTTAACGACCACCTGTGCAGTGCGGCCACCTGCTCATAGCGACCACCTTAGTACAGTCCCATCGCAATTTACACGTTAACGACACTGGGTATAGCGACCACCCGTCCAACGCGACCAGCGACCACCCTATTGTAGACCTATTCACACTTTAACCTTTGTATAACGACCACCAACATTTCCATCAGACAGTCTCTGCAAAAAGACAATAGCTACTTGCGAATCGCTAACAGGAAAGTGGCCATACGTTACGTTCAGATTACCGAGTACACAATCTTTAGGGCTAATAGACAGGGGTGACCATTGCAACTTGGTTTGTGAAGTTGCGAAAAAGTAAAAAAAAA